TATGAGGATGTGAGCTCTGGAGCTGTGGTGGCCATTTTGTGACTAGAAGGCAATGAGCCAAAAGTATGAAGCTATTCTTCTAAGGAAGATAGAACTAAAGAGTAGGAAATTGGGTCCTTGGTGACATCAGTGAGGCATTGCACCAAAACTCCAAAACTCCTAACTCCAAGCTTCTTATTAAATGAGATAAACAGGGCTCCTGGGTAGCTCAGTGGGTTAAAGCCTCTGCTTTCTGCTCAGGTCGTGATCCCAAGGTCCTGGGATTGAGCCCTGCGTCGGGCTCTCTGCTAGGTGGGGAGCCTGCTTTCTCCTCTCTCTGTCTCTGCCTGCCTCTCTGCCTACTTGTGCTCTCTATCTGTCAAATAAATAAAATCTTAAAAAAAATAAATGAGATAAACGAATGTCTTAAGTCATGTTAATTGCAGTCAGAGGTATCCTTACAAATTCATCTCTGTACACCCAGCATAAAGCCTAGAGAAGGTAGTCAATTAATATTTGATAATATGGGGTGCTTAGCTAGCTCAGTTGGTACAGCATGTATGCGACTCTTGATCTCAGGGTCTTGAGTTCAAGCCCCATGTTGGGCGTAGAGCTTATGTTATCAAATATATATATTTGCTAATAAACATTTGAATCATATAGGATATATCTGAACTCTGGCATATGACCCTTTTCAATAGGCATGCCAGAATTACAGTCGCAAATCCCTTCTTGGAGATGCCAAGGCCTAACAAAAAATTTTGAACTGAATATATTTTGGTTTGGCCTGTTCAGCATTCATTTCTCCTGGTAAAGCTCTTCAATTTTCCTTTGGGGACTAACTCCCATTTTCCTACTCCTTCATTTAGTTGAACACGTGACTCAGGTTAGCTCAGTCAGAGCATTCCATCTCCAGAGCACGGTGGCAAGCCCTCCCTTGTCCCCACGCACGACAGCCTCTGTATCCGCTGTTCCCTGTGCCTGAAACATGTCCTATCACTCTCCTGCCACCGCGAAGTCTTCACCCGGTCCGTTCCCATTCATCCCTTATGTCTTAGCTAATACCACCTTCTCCCTCAAAACCATGCACCTTCCGCATGGTGTACCAGGGTTCTTACTGCTTTCATATGTCTAAAAACTTCCCCATCCTACTTTTCTGGTGACTATCTAGGGTCAATCGTATGAAATTGCCGATGTTCTGCCATTTCTAACCTACAAAATTGTTGATTTCATTTGGTTCAACCTCATATTATTTTAGTAACCTCCCCTCCCACAGACCACACAACCCAGACACCTGACCCCCACCTGGCCAATCAAAGCATTACATTGGATACTACAGTCAGAGCAAGAATGTCATGTGACTCCAGTCAGGCCAATCAGAGCCCTGCCCTTGTTTTTTTTTTTTCCCCCTCGTTTAGGATTGGAAGAGATTTTGCCGTTTTACCTTTGGGGCTATGGTGCTAGAAGCATCAAATCTGTGTCTGTAAATAAATGGCCATTTTCCCCATCTGTTGTTGAAAAGGATGAATCTGAGCTGAGAGAAACAGAGAAGCGAAATGAATGAATAAAGTGTCTGGGGAAATTGAGTCCGAGTTGCAGTCTCTAAGGCCAAGTTCCTTGTAGCTTTACCCTTGACAGTCTGCTTCCCAGATTTATGAGATAACAATGCCCACTTTTTAGGTCTAATCCAGGGAAGCTGCATTCCTGTCATTTGCTACCTAAAGACTGACTAATACATGTCCCTGAACCTTGGGGCAGGGTCAGACAGCTCTGCTGGGCTCCCAGGTTCCTGTTCTTCCTACAGCAGTAGGGCTGTGATCGCCCTCAGCTCTGGGAGGGCAGGGACCGAGTCTGTCTTGGTCACTCCTGGGTATTCAGTGCCCAGCCCAGGGCCAGGCACAGAAGAGCTACTCAGACATTTCCCTTGGATGATACTATGCCCTCTCTCACCTAGTGTACCTGTTTCTTGGGTTTAGATCTCTCAATTTTGAAAAACAAGCACGACTTTGGCATTTACAGATATAACTCTCTACCAAATGAAGGGGTTACAGGTGAAGGAAGGAGGGTGGAGTGTTATCCAAAGAGCTGAACTGGGGACCATGTGGGTCCCAAACATGTCGGGTGGATGCCATAACCTGAGATGGCAGTTTCTGGTTCTGTTTTGAAGACACATACATCCCACCCCACAGCTGGGATCTCCATGGAAATCAGACATCATATATCACCTCTACAGAAAACCCTCCATTGGCTTCTCATAGCTTGGAGAATAAAATCTGGACTCTTGACCCCAGCCCAAAAGGCTCCGCAGAATCTGTTCCCTGCTTGCCTCTCCACCTCCTCCTCTCCCACTCTCTCACTTGTTCCAGTCCAGACATACTACCTCCAAAACACTAAGGACACTCTTTCCTCAGGGCCTTTGCATGTGCTATTCACTTTGCCTGGAATGCTTTATCCTGGCTCTTCCTACCAGGGATTTCTTCAGCTCCAGTATCATACTCCTTGAGCCCCCAATCTAAAGTGGGCCTCCTGGTCAGTCCCCATCCCTTCCCATTCTCATTCCTTCCATGGCATTTACCCACCCCCAGACACATCATTTATGTGCTTGTTTACTCTTATCCCCCCTTTACTCTCATCCCCTTGCCTAGAATATAAGCTCCATGGGGCAGGGGTTTCTTGTTTTATTTATTTTTTTCACTGTTGTATCCCCTGCACAGGGCCCAGTACACAGTACAGGCTCAATAAAGCTTTATTGGGTGAATCAGAGACAGTATAGTCAGATGGTTGGGTGTGCAGGATTTGGAGGCAATAAGATTTCCAATCGTAGCTCTGCCATTTTGTGGCCGTATGATCTTGGGCAAACTCCTTAACCTCTCAACTTCAGATTCCTGCTCTAGAAAAGTGATTGCACACGCTACACAGATCTGCTGCAGTGTATAAATGCAATCACATTTACTGAGTAACTGCATTTTGCTGGGCTCTGGGTTGCATACTCTCTACTTGCATCAGGGAGGGCTCGTGAGCACAGTGCCTGGCGTGTGGGAAGCCCTCAGTATCCAGGAGTCGTGATGATGGAGATGGATGTGTGGCTGGGCCACTGGGTGAGGGAGCCTCATGGCCTGTGAGTCGCTGGTGCTTCTGTCCTTGCTGCCTCCCACCCTGTCTGCCCAGATCCATCCCCCTCCCTCCTGCTCTGTTTCTATTTCTGTCTTCCTCTCCTCCTCCCCAGGCCTCAGGGGGCCCCTGGCTGGCAAGAAGCCTTCCTCCTCCTTCTCCAGGATTGGGAAGCAGTTTCCACTGCGGGCCTCCCCCTCCCCAAGGGCTGGGGCATCCCACCCGACCATCAACCTATGTTCCTTCCCCAGCCACAGCCCTCAGCCTCACCTGAGAAACTCTTCTCCCCATACCATCCTTCGTGTTCCCAGCAGATTCCTGCACCTAGGATCCCTCAGATTCCAGACCCCCGCCAATGAGCATTTTCCCTCATCCCCTCCCCAAGGCTGACTTTGGATATCTATGCTCAGCTAAGGTCTTTGGGGCCTTTCCTTAGCTTCCAGACAGACACCAGAGGCTATACAGTGCAGCAGTGAGGGACAGACAGAGGGGAACCTGCCAGCTCCCCTATTTCTTCATTTGGGGGCCTTGGGTAAGTGACTTTCATTTCTCCTTGGTTCAGATTCCTGACAGTTAAATGGGACCAAACATACCTAGTTCAATTAGCTGACCCACCTCAGAGGAGCTGTGCTGAGCACAATGTGGAATGGACATCCAACAGCTATTCAGCACAATTCCGTGGTTAAGAATACAGAATCAGAAGTCAGGCTGCCTGCCTTTTTAAATCCCAGTTTTGCTACTTTCTATGCTGGTTCGGTGACCTCGGGCAAGAGTCTTAACTTTCCTGGGCCTCAATTTCCTCATCTGCAAAACGGGATAATAGCACTGATATCTAGGGTTTAGAGGGTTAAATGAGGGCTTGGCACATAGTAGGCACTAAATGTTAGCTAGTATTATTTTTATTATTCCCCACCTCTAAGTCTCTCAGGCGACAGGAAACTATCCTGAGTCTCCCTGGTCCCAACTAGCCATCCCTTCTTCAGTCTCACTTGAGTCATGCTGTAATCCAGGTCACACACACACACATACACACACCAAGACACACAGACACACACAGAGGTCAGCAGAGCAGCCTCAGACACAGAAAAAAGTTTAATTCTGCTGCGGCGGAGGGTCCCGGCTCCGGCAGGGAGGGAAATTTGGTTTTGGACTTTGTTCATGTGGGGATTTATTTGGGAAAAGAGGAAGGAATAGGGGAGAGTCTGGTCCTTCCAGTGGGACCTGCCCGGGAGAATGTGTAGGGGAAGAGGTAATCGGGAGAGAGAGGGAAACGACTGGACAAGAAATCGGAGGGCGGAGGGAGAAGAGACGACGGGACAGAGAAAGGGGACACAAATAGGGAAGGGCAGACACGTAAGACAAAGACGACAAGGGGCAGGACAGAGACGAAGGGAACAGAGAAAGGGGGACCCCAAGCCAGACCCGACGGGACCAGGGAAGTGAATGGGGTGGGGGTGGGGGCTTTGGAGGCTGCCGCGGGACAGAATAGGATCTAGTCCAGCCAGATACAAGAAATGGGCCCCTCGCCCCTGCCCCGGGTCCCGGGCGGGGGGAGGGGGCTCGTGTCTCAGTGCTGCAGTGTTCGGGGGGGCCCTGCCCCTCCCCGCGCTTCGCTGTGTAAGGCACCGGCTCCAGCGAGGTCCGCGAGCGCGCGGGGGGAGGGGCAGGAGGGGGGCGAAGAGTCCGTGGAGGAGGGGGGCCCGGCTGCCCGCCCCCTAATCCCCTCGGGCCCGGGGGCGTGACCAAGAGCCGCAGACGAGGGAGCCCCGCCCCCCGGGGGAAAAGAAGGGCAAGTCTCCGCCTCTAGTCCCACGACTAGGCGCCGCGCTTTCTCCCCGAGTCCTGCCCCAGCGTCCGTGCGGCTGGGCGTTAGTCCGCGGCACCCAGGCGTCCCGGTGCCCGCCCGTCGCTCACACGGTACTCTCCAGCATCCACTCGGTGCTGGTAAAGGCCAGGCGTGCCCTGGCGGAGCCCAGCCCCAGGTCTCCGTCCTCCCCGGCCGCGCCCCCTCCGGCCCCGTCCAGGTGCGGCGTGGACCGGTGGCGCTTTGTCCGCCGGGCGCGGCGCGGGTAACTGTGGCTCTGGAAGAGCGCCCCGTAGTCCCCATCGAACGAATAGCGCTGCTGCGGCCTCGGTCGAGCCGGAGCCCCCCCAGGAACCAGAGCTAGAGTGGGAGGCGCCGAAGCTGGCGGCCCCAGGGCCCCGGAACGGCTCTTCCGAGGGCCCGCCGCGGCCCGAGACTCCTCCCCAGAGGTTTCCTCAGACGGCAGCAGGCACAGCGAGGTGGCCGAGCCGCCCAGGGAGCGTCCAAGGACGGTCTCTGGCTCCGCGGTAGCCGTCTCGGCCGCGGTGGCCTTGACCTCGACAGCCACCTCGCGCAGCGCCTCGTAACGGTCTTGCGCCGGCGGGGGCGCGGCCTGCGATGCACCTGCGCCGTTGGTCTGCGAGCAAACGTGGCTGACCCGCGGCGGCGACCTGGAGGTACCCTTGACGCGGCGGCCGTCCCCGTCGCCATAGACCTTATAGCGGATCATGAGCAGAACGATGAAGACGAGGACCGATGCGACGATGACGCCCCCGATGGCGATGATCATGGTACCGCCCAAGAAATGGGCCCTCAGTGGGCGGCAGGGCGCAGGATCCCCAGCGGTGGTAAACTGCACGCAGCCCACCACTCGCGTGGCCGGCAGTGCTGTGGCCCCATCGTCGTAGACAGCCAGAACGCACAGGTCGTAGGCGCGGCCCGCTGCCAGATCATTCACCAGGAAGGTCTGGCTGGTGGATGGGATCATCCTGCAGGACAGGAGGGCATCAGCACTGGGTTAGCATCACTTCGTTTTCATGCCCCACCTGTGGTGACCAGTGGGGACCAAACCATGTGTCCCTACTGGTATTTCACCCTCTATGGGACAGTAGCAGCCATTCAAGTGACAAATTCCCATCCTGTCAGGACCCCTGCTGCAGTCCATGGCCCTCCTCTGCGTGCCCTGCCCTCAGACCCACTCCTTGTGGTGTCTTGTCACCTATTAGGTAATATCTGCCATTCCTGTTCCCTCATCTGCATATCCTGACACACACACCACTACCACCACCACCACCCTCCCTGCAAGGGAGGGGGTGCTACAGCTTTTAAGGCCTGCACTCAAGGAACACGCCTCCTGCCAGTGTCTCACTTTCATTGGGACAACCGCCATTTAAGGTCTACATATTTCCACCTTTTAAGGGCCCCCATACAACAGGCCACGTCTTGTTTCCTGTATGTCTCATCCTCACTCAAGCGGACGCTGAGGTCATCTCACCCACTCTGTCTTACTTCAACTGGGACAATGGATGCTCTTCCAGTTTCTCTTTTCTATGTATTCCCATCCTTTCTGGGGAAACTGATAGAGGCCACGGCCCTCACCTGCATGTCCCACCTCTGGGTAGATACATCAAGCTGTGTCTGTCTTCTGGGACAACTACCAAACCCCTCAAGTACCTATTCCCACCCACTAAGGGGCCATCTATAAGCCACTCCCCTTTTGATTGACCAGTGGCTTCCAAGCCACACTCCCAAGGCCTCCTAGGGATGGTTTCCCTACTGTGCCTAGGGCCATGTCCACTCTGCATGTCCTGCAATCAGTCACTCTGTGTGCACACTCTGCCCCATATCACCAGAGGTCATGAAATCATGCCCCCCGCCCAGATAAATTTCATCCATAATTGGGTCAAATGTAACCAAGCAACATGCCCCTTTCTTGCTATGGGCCCCTGCCCTCCAATGAGGATCATTGTAAAGGAGCCATTATGCTGACAAAGTCTTGGAGCCCGTGTTTGAGTCTCTCTGCCACTTGCTAGCTCTGTGATCTTAGGCAAGTTTCTTAAATCCTCTGTGCCTTGCTTCCCCAGAATGGAGATATTAAGATCATCATAAAGATAGCGTGATGTGTGAATAAATTAACACACCTAATGCCTGGCACCCAATAATTTCATCATGATTAGCTCACATCCCACCCTGTGTTGGCCAGTAACCCTTGCTGTGGCTCACACTTTACTGCCAACTGCACTCTTCCCCATCTGTAAGACCGTTCCCACTAGGCCTTGACCCTCTTCTATTGGGCACGTCCCTTCTGGGCTGTTGGCCACATCTGGGCTGTTGGCTAAGCCAGGACTGCCACGTCCACATGAATTTGCATGCCCGGGACTCAATCTCACAAGCCTTCCCCACCTCCAAAACTCTTAGTGGATCCCCAGAGACAAGGACTGGGGCCCCCTCTGCCTGGGACCATGCTGCAGGAGCCCTGTCTCCTGAGAGAGGCCACACCCTCATCTCCATGGGCCTCTTCTCTCTGGGAAACTTCACATTCCCTCCAACCGGGCCAGCTCTGGTCCTGAAGCCCACCTTAGCTCTGTTACCACCAAAGGCCACCCTTCAACCAGAAGATTTCAAATAAGCCCCCCCCCAAAAGGCCTACCCACATTTCCGGTGGACCCCCCCTTCCTCCCATTCACACACTGCCCCCACCCCATCCAACCTCGGACCCCTAGCTGTATGTCTTCCTCATCCTCTCCTCTCCCCTTCCCAAGAGGCTTGGATTCCTCTTGCTCCTTCCCCCAAAGTAGCCAGTTGCTAGGGGCTCCCCACTTTTCAAGGACAGAGGCTGGCTTCTTAAGAAAGCTTCAGCTGGTGTGTCTCTAATTGGCTGCAAGACCTGAGCAGGCAGCAGATCAGGTTTCTGGTTGGTCGTCACCTCCGCCCATGGCAGCAGTGAGGAGGTTAACCCCTACAGCACCAGAGCACAGGCATCTGCAATGGGGGACAGGGGACTGGAACTGTGGCCTTAAGGGGAAAGGAAGAGACCAGGGGTTTGTTGCCCTGCTGGGGACAGAGGGCCACCAACATCTGTGTACATGCAGTGTCTGAGGATACCCCCTCACCCCCCCACACAGTGGCCAAGGGTTAAATAATGAAAGAGAGAAACAGAGAGGTGGAGAGTCACAGAAACCAAAAGTCATTTTCAGAAATGTATTCTCTTTCTCCCCTAATCCCTGCCTGGCAAACAGCAGGTGCTCATTAAATGCCTGTTCAATGTCAAAAGGGCAAGATTAGCAGTTAGAAGGGTAAGGCCTGGAATCCTGGCTCTGCCACTTTCCTCTGTGACCTTGAGCAAGTGATTTCCTCCCACTGAGTCTCAGTTTCCCTGTCTATAAAATGGGAGGGGGGATCATCATTGCTTCACAGCAGAGCTGGGAAGATCAAATGAGGTGGCACAGGGCCTAGCGCAGAGCAAGGGCTCAGTGCCTTAAAAGAGCCGGAGGGGGAGAGGGTACAGGCAGACAGAGGCAAAAGCAAGAGAATAACAGAGATGATAGGAGAAAGTAACCTTTTAATGTCTGTCTATACCGAACAGATCTGTCTACACCAGAGCAAGGGCTTCTAGCCTAGTGGATGGTGGAAATAACATGGGTGTTTATAAAATGGGAGGGGGTATCATCACCACTTTGCAACGAAGTGGGTAAGATCAAAGGATCATTTATTTATTTTTCTCATACTTTTCCTTTTCTGTTCTGTAAGGCATCCAGTGGGTTGATACAGTAACACTGGTATGTAATCTGTAAATATAAATGTAACTATACATATGTAAGTGTGCGAATATATTTCATGTTCCAAAATGTTTAACTGACAAGGTGAATGGCCAGACACCTTTGGCCAGCAGTGATGTAGACCGGGAACCCCAGAGAGGAGGGACTGTGCTGGGCATATTCATGTCTGGCTCCTGTGGGGTCTCAACGAAGATTTACTAAATGCCTGAAAAGCAGAAAGAGCTCGTGACACAGAAGTAGAGAGAGGAGGGGACAGGTCAAATGAGAGCCCAGGACAACTCCGCACAGCCATCTAGAGAACCGCGGCTGAGCAAGAAGGCCAAGGGGGTGCGCAGATGAGGGGGAGGGCCCCGGGAGTCGGTGGGCGGGGCGTCCTGGGACTGCAGCACCCACCTGTAGACGAGGGAGTCATCCACGGAGCTGTTGTACTGGACCTGGTACATGCGGATTCCGGGTACAGGCCTCTGGGCGGGCCAGCGGATGAGCACCGAGTTCGAGGTCAGCTCCGCCGCCACCAGCCGGCGCTCCGCAGCTGACTCGTTGGCACCAGGGCGGCCGGGTGTCGCTATGTCGGAGGAGCCAGGCTCGGTGAGAGGCGGCGGGGCGGCCGGCGGGGGCGCCATCAGAGGCAGGGGCACCACGCACACCTCCACGGGTGCCGTGGCTTCCCCGGCGGCGTTGGAGGCGATGCAGGTGAAGGTGCCGCTGTCCCGTAAGGTGGTGATGGTTACATCCAGCGTCCCGTCCCCCCGCACCCGTGTCCGGCTTGAGTTCCCCAGCAGCCGCCCGTCGGGCGCGACCCAGTGCACCACGGGCTCGGGGTCCCCCACGGCGCGGCACCGGAGGCTGACGGCCTGGCCCTCCACCACCAGGGCCCGGCCCCCCGCCTGCCGAGTGATGAGCGGCGGTTCGCACAGGAACTCCTCCTCTGGGATGGACCAGAAGTAGCGGTCGGTGAGGTGCTCAGGGGTGGCGCATGTCTCCAGGTCGTCTTCCCGGGTCAGCCGCCGCAGCCAGAGCAGCTCGCAGTTGCAGTGCAGCGGGTTGCCGCCAAAGCTGACCGTGAGCGGTGTGGGCGGCTTCGGCCCCGCACCCTGGGACCGCAGGAAGAGGCCATCGGGGGGCAGTTTATGGAGGCGGTTGGAGGTCATGTCCAGGCGAACCAGTTTGTGCAGCTGCACGAAGGTCCCTTCAGCGATGTGGTCGATGAGATTGTGGTCCAGCGTGAGGGTGTTCAGGTTCACCATCTGGCCCACAGCCTCCCACGGCAGGGCCTCGAGGTTGTTGTAGGACAGATCCAGGTCCTCCACGGTGGAGAGGAAGGCATCGAAGGCGGCGGACTCCACCCGGCGGATCTGGTTGTTGCCAAGGATCAGGTGGCGGAGGTTGCCCAGGCCGCGGAGCTGGTCGCCGCGAACCTCGGCCAGGCGGTTGCTGTCCAGGTGCAGGGCGCGGAGGGCGCGGAGGTCGGCGAAGGCGCCGGCGGCCACCTGGCCGATGGTGTTGCGGGACAGGGTGAGGTGCACCAGGCTGGTCATGTTGGCGAAGTCCCTGCGGCGGACAGCCGCGATGAAGTTGTCCGTGAGCCGCAGCTCCACCACGCGCCGGTCGATGGCCGGCGGCACGAAGAGCAGGCCAGTCTTGGCGCACAGCATGGTCAGCGTGGGCGCCACGTTCTGGCAGATGCAGCGGCCGGGACAGGGCTGACCACGGGATGCCCCAGCCCAGAGCAGCAGCAGAAAGGGCAGGGCAGCAGGCGGCGGCGAGAGGAGCGCCGAGCTGAAGGGGCCCGGAGCCATGGTGCAGGGGTAAGTGGGGAGCAGTGGGGCGTGAGACCTGCAAGGGAAGGAGAGGGGGTTATGCAGGCGCAGGGCTTGACCACCAGCCTGGCCGCCCACCGTGTCCCTCCCTTCCCAACAACCGTGGCAGAACAGTGGCAGGACTGCTCATCAGCGGCCATGCGTTTCATCCTTAAGGGACAATATTTCCACGCTGGTTGATAAACTTCACTACCCCACCCCTGAGTGTCCCAATCCCAACTCTGACTCTCCTCCAGAAGGCCCAGACTTCTCATGATCTCCCAACCAGCAGGGTGACACCTGACTAAGCCTGGGCCTTCCAGTACCCACTTGACTAGGGTTTAAGGTCATGAATTTCAAAGCCACAGCCCCTGGGTTCAAATTCCAGCTCTGACACTTACTAGCTGTGTGACCTCCGGCAAGTGTCTGAACCTCTCTGAATCTCGGTTTCTTCATCTGTAAAATGGAGATAAGAACAGGCCTTACCTCTGTGAGGATTAAATGGGTTAATGAGCATTATGTACTTAGAACCACACCTGGCCCATAAATCTGTTCAACTCATGTTGGTGATTATTATCACCATGACCATGGAGTGCCCACTATGTGCTGGGCGTAGAAGTGTGCACCATCATTAAAAGTAAGCGCTCTGAAATCACAGACTCAGACTTCACGTCCTGGTTCCCCCACTTGCTCGCTCGGTGGCCCCAAACGAATGCTTCCCCTAACCTAGGCCATAACTTCCTGATTTGCAAAATGGGATGATGATCGTACCATCTTCCCTGGGTTGTTGCAATGGTTCTGTGAGCTCATTCAGTGGGAGCCACTGAGCACAGGGTCTGCCACACAGTAAATATTCAGTGAATGTTAAGGGTAAGCCCCCCCCCCGCCAAACATACCCCTGCTTGGGAGTGGCAGAGGGAATTTGAAGGTAGGAGGGGCTGAGAAAAACACATGTCTTCCGGCTCAGCCTTGGGAAGTCCTTCTCTAAGCCAGGTTTCATCCTGGGCCCTGGTGAGCTCCCAGGCAGCAGGCAGGCTTTCATGCTCACATCAGCGGGCACTTACAAGGCCCCATACATGCCCACACTCACACACACACTCTCACACACTCACGCTATGCCTCTGCTCCAGGCAAAACCTTCCGGCAGGGATTTCCCTGCGGTGCCTGCAGCCCACGACGTGTCAGCTCCCATCACAACAAGGGGTGGGTGGGGGGTGAAGAGGAAAGGATGGGAAGGGGGCGTCCCTGAAACTGCTTTCACCCCCACCCTGCACCCGGTCCCTGCTGGCCCACCTCCTAGGAATCTGCAGTTTGGGGCTGTGGCCTGCTGTGGCCCTAGGTCTTCCAGGCTGTGGGGAGGGGGACCAAGACAGTCAGAGAGAGAGAGAGAGAGGTGAAGAGACAGACAAATGGCAGGGCGGGGGGTGGACTGGCAAGAACAGAGAGAGAAAGAAAGGGGCAAAAAGAGAACTTGAGGTGTGCCTGGCAGGCAGAGCATATGACTCTAGATCTTAGCGTGGTGAGTTCGAGCCCCACATTGTGCCAGGAGCTCACATAGATAAATGAGTAAATAAGCAAGTAAGTAAATAAATAAATAAAAGGAAAGGAAACAAGAAAGAATCTGAAAGAAAGGTACAGAGGCAAGGAGTCAGCCTGAAGCCAAGAGAGACTGAAGAACAGAGAAGAAGACACAGAGAAGGGCATTGAGATCAAAAGATGAAGAGGGGAGAGTGAGCCAGAAGAGGCAGGAGGCGATCTGAAGACACTATAGTGAGAGACCAAGAGGGAGGCAGAAAGAGATAGAGACGGAGAGCCAGTGCCTGGGATGCACAGAGGACGAGGGGCAGAATTGGGGCATCCCACCGAGTCACTGAGCGCCCCCCATTAATTGGTCTTGCGCTCTGCGCCTGGGAGACTGATCAGTCTCAGATAGAAAACCCTGGCCTGCCAGGCAGAGCTCCCGAGTTCGGAGGCCCAGCTCTGCACCTGCTCGGCTGCGGGGTCTCTAAGGCTCAGAACCCCAGTCTGTGAAGCACAAGTACACGGTTTTGCCTCCCACAGCTGGGGTGGGACTCAAATGAAAGGAATAATACAGCAATGGAAATAGCTAACGTTTATTGAGAGGCAGTGCGGCATCGCAAGGAAGAACCGGGACCTGACTGCTGCGGCTCATACCCCAGGCCCCAGCAGCGTGACTTTAATTGAGTGACTTCCTCTCTTTGTGCCCCAGTGTGCTCATCTGTAAAATGGGGGATAATGGGAGCAGCTACCTCATGGGGTTATTTTAAGTATTCAGAGATAAGACAGTGTAACATGTTTAGGACAGTTCCTGACAGAGTAAACCCTGTATAAATATTAGCAGCCATCATCATCATCTTATTATTATTATTACTATTACTAATTATTACTAAATATTTTTACTATTATTACTAAATATTATTACTATTACTACTAATAATTATTAACATATCATTTTTCTCTGGCTCTCAGCCGCTAGCAGGTCAGGTGACCAGGAGATCTTCCCACACGCACACATGCACACACACAAATGGTAAACCATGTCCGTGCCGCTCTCCAAATGCAGGGGATCACTTCATGTTGTGAAACTCTCTGTGCCCTTTTCCCATATCACCAGGAGACTTCCCTGTCCCCACCACCTTACCCATCCAGAGAGGGGATGCCAGCAGGCCTAAAACCCCACCTCCCACCCGTGTCCAGGCTCTACCATGAACCCTGACCCAAACACGATGCTCCTGACCTTGTTGTCACCCTCACCGCCACCCCTTGGACACTGCCGTACCCTGCCCTGAAATCCATACCAGGCAGGGCTTCAGGCCTCCAGCTGGCTCAGAGCAGGCCCAATCACTCCACATCTCTCTCCCTAGCCTGGAGGACCCCACTCACCTCTCTGCAGGGAGTCAGGGCCTGGGCAGGTACCTGCAAAGGAACAAAATGACCCTATTAGCATCCCTCAGGCTCCTCTCTGAAGACCTGCCTCAGAGACCATCCCGACCAAGGAAGTCTCTGGGGTGATCATTCTCTCCGCCCTCCTGCTGCAGACTACACGATCTCAGACGGACCCAGCGAGTCATTTCTGGAATCCAGGGAGTCTGGGCCTCAGGACTGTTCACCCTTCAAACCCAGGAGTCCAGGTCTTTAACCCTTTGTCCTCTGTGGGCTCACCAGGCCAGAGAACCCAGCCCCCTCCTCCCTCAAGACCTGGCGTCTGCAACCCCCATCTCGTCCTTCTTCAAACTCCAGAGTCTAGGTTTCTTCCTTTCTCAAGATCCAGGAACTGGCCTCCCAGCCACCTTCTCTTGTAGATCCAGTATTTCAGGCTCCCAGCGTGTTGCAGAGTTCACATCCCAGTCCCCCAACTTTGTAGGAAAGAACCAGAGGCCCCCATCCTCGCCATCATACCATTGCCATACCAACATGTGCGGACACGCCAAAACCCACATGGACCCACAGTCCAAGTCTCCACATCTGGATTTCCAGGAACACACCAGCCAGATGTGTGTCCCCACTCTCCGTGGGCTCTTGGCCTAGCATGCGGACACACTTGTGTCCTTGGACACCGCTCCCTCCACGAGGGACCCAAGCATACCACAGGTCACACCACACAGGCTCCAGTCTCACTGGGCCAAGAAGTGAGGTCAGCCTCCTGCCAGGGAGACAAGCACGTGCATACAGATTGCCCTGCACGTATGAATGGATACAACCCCAATCCCCAAAGACCAACACTGACACATAAATGGACTCACAGCACAGACACATACCCTCAAGGTGGACACACCCGCACACAAGCACGCATGTATAGCACTGACTTTCCTTTGCACATTCATACATACCCACAGACACACACAGCAGAGAAACCTGTGTGCCCCCTTGCAGACAACCAGATTCATGCTTCTATAACAGACACACACGTGCACGCTTGCCAACACACAGGGGCCCATACATACAACATATACTCATTTGCACATACAGGTGACACACAGGTGCAGGCTCTTAAATGCCCAGACACACTCCTACACACTCACACAACTTCACATATCCCCAAGGTGCATGGTCACAAACCTGCTCCATCCCCACACCGCCAGATGCACAAACGCACACACCAGCAGATACACACCTCACACATACACAGAACTACAAGCACACACAGGCAACACTAAAACTGATACTCAAACAAGCCCACAGGCACAAAAAGATCCACTTTGCACACACATTCTGAGATGTTCACTCATGACAGACACATGCTCACACAACAGCCCTGGGAGGGATATTACACACTTCCAAAATGCACATAAAATATTGAACCACAGTGGCATAGTCAACAGATAGGCATACATTCACACTCACAGTCATGAACACGCATCCCTCCCGGCCCTAAGGTACCCCCACCCCACCTACATCCCAGCTCAAAGAAATCCTAACATCCTTCCCTCCCAGCACATCCTCCCCCACCCCCAACCAAGGCACCAGCCATGGCCTGAGGTCAGAGTTCAGCAGGTGGAGTCTCAAAGGGTTGGGGGGCTGAGTCCTAGAGCCCCGCTGCAAGGCAATCCTCCCTCCAGCCGCCCAAAGATCCCCCGGCCTGGCCATCTGTATGCCGGCAACTCAGGCCCTATCTGCGGAGATGTGGCGGGTGGGGGGATTGGGGTGGGGTGGGTGGGGAAGGGCCGGGTCTGTGCCCCTCCCCTCCGGCCCATCTGTCCATCCCTCGGCCTCTCATCCCTCCATCTGTCCACCTACCGGCCGCCCATCCCCCCCCACCTCCCAAGCACCGGGAAGGGGAAGACATGGCCGTCTCCCCCAAGGACCGCTGAGGACCCCCCAGTTGACATGGACCGAGGGAGCGGCAAACTCCCCTCCCCCAAACCCACACAGAGGCCTGGACCCACAAGGAACGAGCCCCAGCCCCTAGCCGGGAACCTGAGGTGGACGCACAGACACACATCCTCAGAGACATGCAACCCGCAGACACACAGACACAC